GAGGCCGCTGCGCGGCCCGGGTTACCGCCAACAGCGACTGAGGTTGAAGGTCGGGCAATTCCCGCCCGCCCTGCTGTCCGAATAAAGAGTGCGCTGTTTTTCCACCTGTGCTCACGCCCACGCACCGCCTGGTGTATGGCTTGTCTGTCTGTCTGTCTGTCAGGTCCCGCCACAGGAGGAATGTTCAAACATAGTCCAAGCATTGTATGGGGACCATTTTTGCTACTGTTTTTGCCATGTTTGGGGTATGCTTCTGACCATTTGCAGTTTTCCTTGAAAGCTTGCCCGTAGGGGGACATGCCCGACCCAAGACTAAGGACGGAAACGTGGACCCCAGGAAGTGGCCGAGACCCGCCACCAAAACAGGCAGCGTCTGACGTGAGTAAGGCGCTCCAGAAAGGCGATCAGGACTTAGCCCAGGAAAATCGGACATTCCCCGGGAAAAATGGACATTCCCTGGTAGCACCGGGGAATGTCCGATTCCTGCGGCGCTTCCTTTGCGAATTTTCCGAGCGGGGTCGGGCCGCCAACTCTTTGAAAGCCAACTGGTTGGCTTACGTCTGACCATTCGGTTTCCGAAAAAACATAGCGGGGAATGTCTGATCTCGGTGTGCTCGCGCGATGTAGTTCTGGTACTGGTAAAGGTAATGGAAATGATAGTGGTAATGGTAGTGGTAGTCGTAGCGGTAGGAGTCGAAGTAGTAGTAGTAGTAGTAGTAGTAGTAGTAGTAGTAGGAGTAGTAGTAGTAGGAAGTAGTATTAGTGTAGTAGTAGTAGTAGTAGCAGTAGTAGTAGTAGTAGTAGTAGTAGTAGTAGTAGTAGTAGTAGTAGTAGTAGTAGTAGTAGTAGTAGTAGTAGTAGTAGTAGTAGTAGTAGTAGTAGTAGTAGTAGTAGTAGTAGTAGTAGTAGTAGTAGTAGTAGTAGTAGTAGTAGTAGTAGTAGTAGTAGTAGTAGTAGTAGTAGTAGTAGTAGTAGTACTGGTAATTGTACTAGACGTGATCGTAGGAGTAGTAGTCGTAATCGTAGTCGTAATCGTTGCAGTAGTCGTAGAAGTACAAGTAGTAGCAGCAGGAGTAGTAGTAGCAGCAGCAGCAGGAGTAGTAGTAGTAGCAGTAGGAGTAGTAGACGCCGGTAGGCCAACGGACGAAGCAACCAGCCAACCAGCCGAGGGCCGCCAACCAGCCAACCAACCAGCCACGCATCTCTTGCAAGGGTTCTGTGGGCAAACGCAATGTTTCCGATGGGGCCCCGTCTGTGGGGCCCCCGCCGAGGGTCGCCAATCAACCAACCAACCACGGGCGGCGGGGCTGGCGAAGCCAACATATTATGACCTTCCGTTCGCCCATCATCGTCGTCGTCCTGGTCCTTGTCCTCCTCGTTCTCGTCCTCGTCCTCGTCCTCGTCCTCCTCTCTTCCTCCTCCTCCCGCTCCAGCGCCCCCCCCTCTTCCCCTCGAGCCCCTCCCCGCCCCCTCCTCGAAAAAAGTCCGCCGCTCCATTGCCCCCCCCAGGGCGGCGCGGCACTGCCGCTTACGTCACCTGGGGGGGGGCGCCCCCGTCCTCTCCCGCCCCCGGCACACCGCGCCGGAGACGGCCTGGCAGTGTTTTTTTGGCAGTGGCGACGAGCAGACCTCAGCCGCCCGTTCTTCCCGCCGTTGGGCCCCGAGACAGCGACGAGCGAACCTCAGCCGCTGGCCCAGTGCGGCGCGGTGGCGCAGTCGCCGTTTCGAGGCGAACCGAGCGGCCTCGGAGAGGCGAGAGGCGTCGGGGCGCAGGGCGGGTTGAGACAACGGCAGCTGAGCTTCGGCCCCAGTCGCGAAACCCCCGCCGGGGTCCCAACGCACGAAGTTGCCCTTGCCATCCCGTGGTGATGGGTCTTCGTTTCGTTTCGACACTCAGGGCTCGATATGGTTGGGTTCTTCGCCGAAACAATAGTCGGAGCGGCGTCCAGCCGTGGCGACGCGGTGGGAGCACCGAAAGCGAACTGCCGTGGTCTCTGACAGCCCTGCCCTGATTGACAAGCGGGCTAACCGCCGCGCGGCGTGGCCCGCAGCGTGGCCCGGCGCTGGCCGCCCGCGGGAGTCGCGTCTTCCTCCCAAGGAAGGCCCACGCCTAGATCGATGATGCGAATATGCGAAGGCTCCTGTCCTGCTGCCGCGGCAAACCGCCGCCCCCTGCGGGGCCGCCGCGCTTCGGCCGCGAGTATTCCTGAAAATGCGAATGCTAATTCCTGGTGTTGCTGGCTAGCAGTGCTACTGCTACTACATCCATTATTACTACTACTACTACTGCTCCTCCTCCTTTTTTTTCTCCTCCTCTTCTTACTACTACTACTACTACTACTACTACTACTACTACTACTACTATTACTACTACTACTACTACTACTACTACTACTACTACTACTACTACTACTACTACTACTACTACTACTACTACTACTACTACTACTACTACTACTACTACTACTACTACTACTACTACTACTACTACTACTACTAA